ATTTTTTTCATTTATGGTTAAAGCTTTCAGTGTCCTTGTAAAAAGTTCCATCTGTTTCAAGGTTGTAAAGATGTTTTCATGTGTTTTCTTCTAGAAACTGTATGGAATGAGGAAGGGATTTAGATATTGATATTCATTTGGTCAACCATCATTTGATACAAAGCTTCTACTTCCCTCACAGAAGGAATTCCCTTGGCAATTTCTCAGTTCATTTTTTCCTATTACACGTTACTGAGAAATAGTTTGTGTAAAATTGACTGTCTCCATTTGAAGGGTATAATTTGAAGAGTTCTGACAAGTATATAATCCCACAAAACCACATCACAATGAAGATGGAGAACATTTCCACAACCCCTGCCTTGGTTTGCCAGGGGTGCCATAATAAAGTAGCACCAACTATGTGGTTTATACAATAGAATTTCATTTACTCACAAATCTGGTGGCTAGAAGTCTGAAATTAAGCTGTCAGCAAGGCTGGTGTCTATTCAGACCTCTTGCCTTGGCTTATAGATGGTTGTCTTCTTCTGTGTGTTCATGGGATGTTCCTCTGTTCTGTGTTCCAGTCCCACCTTTTAAGGTGGGACTTAGAGACACCTTTTAAGGACACCAGTCACAGTGAATTAGAGTCCACCATAGTGACCTCGTTTTACCTTCATTCCCTCTTTAAAGACCTTCTCTTCAAATGCAGTCACATTCTACAGAGGGTTCAGGTTTTAGCGTATTCAGTTTGAGAGGACACAGCTCAGCCCATAATACCCCCCATTTTATATAAGAGGAATCTAGTCTATATCGGGTTTTTTAGATCACTTTATTTATTTGGGTGGCACTGGGTGTTCAGGTTTGCCCCGGTGTTTGTCTAGTTGCAGCGAGCAGGGGCCACACTTGTTGCGGGGTGAGGGCTTCTCGCTGTGTTGGCTCCTCTGGCTGCCGAGCGCCCGCTCTAGAGCGCGTGGGCCTCAGTAGCTGCGGCTCCTGGGTCAGTACTCGCCACACCCTGGCTCAGTGGCTCTGCAGCGTGTGGGAATCTCCCCAGATCAGGGATCCAATCCATGTTTCCTGCATGGACAGGTAGATTCTTTATGACTGATCCACCAGGCAAGCCCCATGCATGTATTGTATTCCGTATCTGGCTTCTTTCTTTCACATAATTTTGAGACTCATCCATGGTGTTGTAAATAACATAATACTGTTGATTACTGAGTAGTATTTCATTGGCTGCATGTACCACATTGTGTTTATCCATTCATATTTTGGTAGATATCTGGGTGGTCTCCAGTTCGAGGCTACTAAGAATAAAGCTGTTTTGAGCATTGATACATAATTGTCTTTGGGGACTCATGTTTTCATTTACCTGTTAATTATCTAGGATTGGGATGGCCAAGGCTTGTTGTTAGTTGTATGTTTAATTTTTTAGAAATTCCTAATAAATTTCTAAACTAGCTGTGTCATTTTGTATTTGAGCAGTAGTGTATGTGTATTCCATTTGTTTTACATCTGACGGGCATTTTGTATTAATATCCTTTTAAATTTTATTCATTGAATATGTGTGCCCAGATAATTTACAACATTAGCCTTTCTGTATACTTAACAAAAGCAATTAGAAAAAGAATTCTTCTCTCTTTTTCATAGCTGTATCTTAGATTTTAAGAGCTGTTTAACAAAGAGTTGCTTGGTGGATATATATTGATTCAAAAGATCTTTTCCCATATTATTTCCCTGCTTACTATTTAATGGTTGCATTATTAGGCCTCTACTATAATCATAGCACCATGCTTAGCTTTATTAGAAGCAAAAGATCTTTATATCAAAGAGGGGAAAACACAGAACAAGATCTACTGTATGACAGGTGGAAACACAGTGAGCTCAGTCGTGTCTGATTCTTTGCGACCCCGTGGGCCGCAGCACACCAGCATTTGTATGATGTACTCTGCGTATACGTTAAATAAGCAGGGTGACAATATACAGCCTTGACATACTCCTTTCCCAATTTTGAACCAGTATCACTTTCAAAATAATTTTAGTCCCTAAAGTTTAATTATATGACTTAGATATTTATGGAAACATTCAAGAGGATATTTTAAATGCAATGCATTCAATGATAACTTGTGATAATTGGTAAAATTGTAGTAAAAATACTTAAATTACCTTTTCCAAGCCTGTAAATGCCAAGACTGTGTGGAAAAATATGTAATTTTTTAAAGCAGCATTGTTAATTATGCCCACTTATGAAGAACAGATTATAGAATTTACTTAGATTATCTGGGGTGGGGAGTGTAAAACAGTTTAACTGTTTGAATCTTGTCAAAGTGATATTCAGGTAAGAATTTCCCACTTAAGTACTTCAGTCTCCCACTTGATTGGACATAACAAGACATAGCCAAAATGACTTGTGTGTTTGTTGTAAAATTCTTTAGAGTAAATATTATTTGAAGACTCATATTTTAGAGATTTTTGGCAGTTTTTCATGCCATTGAGTCATTTTTCTGTATTTCTGATTTTTTGCATCATATACATCTGTTTAAATAATATTCTGCTTCATGATTTTCAGTCAGTTGTAAGATTACTCAAGACAAATCCCCAGATGTTATAATTATCTACTTTCTTACTAATTCAACTTGGATTAAAATTAACTAAAACAACTTGGATCACTGAATCCTATCCATATGTTTTCAGATTTGACAGATCAATAGTGCTAAGGTTTTAACTGAAGTAATTTCTCACTTGAGACCCAGAATGCAACTACTTCAACAAATGAATGAGATTATATGGTGGCCAAAATGACACTACAATATTTTCTGAATGCTTTTCATTATGAACTTGGAACATTTTATATACCATCAACAATTGGCAAACTTTTTCCATAAAGGGCCAGATAGCAAACATGAAGGCTTTTTGAGCCACTTCCTCTGTGTTTCGACAGCACAGTTCTGACCTTGCTGGGCAGAAGCAGCATAGATAGTACTCAGATGAGCTACAGCTGTGTGCAATACATTTCATTTTGGACTTGGAAATTTGAGTATCATTTACTTTTTGTGTACCACAGAATGCTCTTCTTTTTATGCTTTTAACCACTGAAAAATGTAAAACCATTCTTAGGTCATGGGCTGTATGAAAACCAACCCAAGGCTGGATTTGGTCAACAAGGCCATTGTTTAATGAGTCCCGATATAGATGCTCACAAAAGTTGTGTATTTTTCTTGTGTGTAACTACTATTGGACAAAAAAGAAGAACAATTTCTGAAAAACAGGCACACAATTCTGTATTAAGACGTGTATTTCACACTGTTCTGTCTGACGTTGTTTCTCTGATATCTTTCTCCAGTTCTCCTACCTTTGAGAGAGGAAATAGATTTTTTTTTTATTCTTTCCTTGACACATTCTAATTCATAGCTCCCTTGTGCTGCCGTGTGGCTTGCAGTCCTTTTAAACCTTGTGGTCTAGACACCTTTCTCACTCCTATGTGAAGACTATTAATCATAAATGCTTTAGCCATGCAAATATTGTATAGTATACAATGCATACTTTGTATAGTATACAATGATTAAACAATTTATATTTTCTAAAACTAGAAATGGGAAAAGTTAAATCTGCTTTATAATGTCAGCAAGTAACTGGGACATGTGTTTCTGTTTTCAGGGTGGGTATAGCAATAGCTTTCAATACTAATAGTTTGAATAGCATGGATGAACTAGCACATGTATTTCATTATGTCTAATTCTCATATCCAACTGATTTCGGTTTTATTACTTGTATTATTTTGTTAATGTTTGAGATCGAGAAGAAAATTTTGAATGAGCTTTCTGTAATTTCCTGGTACAACATAAGGATTTGTCAGATAAAATGGTACTTATGTAACAAAATTGTTACATAAATATTTTCATTGCTTTCTGGGCCCTTGAAAAAAACAACACAGGAAAAGTGCATATTTGTCATATACACAGAAGGTTTCATTGCATTCTGTGTTTCTAAGCCGAGGATCTGACAGTTCTAGCAGGAAGATTTAGGGTCTTATGCTTCTTAAAATGAAACTTTCTCCCTGTTAGCTGCTCCAGGTCTCCATCAGCTTCCTCTCCCTATCTTCTTTTCCTCCAGTCTTTGGTCTCCCTGTGGGCCTGCGAGTAGAGAGGCCCCTCCTCTGTCAGAGCGGATGGCAGATTTCCAGAAAAGGTTGAAACTCTCTTCTCACCCAGACTTCTGCATTCTATCTTCCTCGGTGTCCTGGATTCACATGGTGCTATTATTAGCTGTAATTCTCACGGGGCCTCAGGAGGGAGAAGGGGATAACGGAGTCTGCTCAGCCTGCTGACTGCAGCTGGGGGTCCTGCGTGCTTGCCTCCCCTGTCCAATGTGCCCGCTTGCCTGCTGAGTTGCTTCAGTCGTGTCCAACTCTGTGCAACCCCGTCGACTGTAGCCCGCCAGGCTTCTCTGTCCTTGGGGTTCTCCAGGCAAGAGTACTGGAGTGGGTTGCCATGCCCTCCTCCAGGAGATCTTCCATACCCAGGGATGGAACCCACCTCTTTTAACCTTTCCTGCGTTGGTTAGCAGACAGGTTCTGTCTGACACTAACCACCTGGGAAGCCCCCATATCCCACTGCTGCCCCTCAAAGACTCCTTGTGAGTGTAACTTGCAAGTGTGTTTTCATTGAAAAGTTAGCAACTGAAATTGAAATGAACTTAAAGGTATTTATTACATTTGTAAATAATTCAATGTAACTGCAACGGGAAAGGATTCCATGGATATGTGATACACATTTGGAGCAACATGTCAAATATTATCTTAGTACATTATCGAAAATAGTTTTGACCTACCAGATCCCCTCGAAGGGTCCTGAGAACTCCCCAGGTCTGTGTATTATACTTTGACAATCATTGGAGTATATATTACTTTCATTATCATTTTATAACATAAACAGATTTTTAGAATGTGTTAGTGAGTACATTTATTTTATAATTTGTGCACCAAGAATATCCTGTTTTGTTTTGTTTTTTTTCCCCCAAAGGGTCCTTCTTGTTGGGAAGATGTCTTAATCCCAAACCGAATGAATGGTGAATGCCAGTCTCCAAACTGCCCCGGGACTAGAGCGGTAAGTACGGGTCCAATCTGTTCTTTCATTTTGGCATCTCCAGCATTTACTGGGAAATGAAATTAGAGAGAAAATGCTAATTGACTATTTTCCATCCATTTTTTATATTTACAAAAAAGGTTATCAGATTCAGAAGTGTTCATAATATTCACCAAGAATTCTAACTGTATCATTGCCTTCTAGTGTCATTTTCTTAGAGACTTAGCCATTTGGGGTGATTGTGTTGAAACAGGACAATTTAAATTCCTCACAAGGTGATATTCATGGAATATATATAAGATTCCATTCAGAGTCTGGCAAAAGAAAATAACAAAGCTGTACATTCATGCTTTTCCTAATGCTGTGAAATTCTACCTCTACATTCCCTGTCATTCAGGATCACTCTTTCTACCTTTCTTAGTGGTTCTCTGACACAGTGGGCTGTTAGAAAATCTAGAATGGATGGCCAGCTATAAATGGAATCACTATCCTCAGTTCTCTGTAAACCCATTTTCTTTGCAAACATATGCCATATCTCTCATATAGAGAAGGTATTTCTGCAATGAGACCCTAAGTACTGAAGTTATCTTAAAAATAATGTAATTATTGTGATCATGTTTGTGATTTGGATATTGTTACAGTTTTTACTTCCATGGGAAGTCATGGTCCATCATCATCTGATTGTATATATTTTCCAATCTGTAAATATGGTTATGGCACCAACACAAAAGTCAGTGTTAGCTCACAGACTGTCACAGCCAGCTGGCAGCTAGTGTCTTCTCTAAGGAACAAAGCCTCTATCAGTAGCAACTAGTAGAGTGTTTGAGCTTGATCCTCAGACGTGTCTTCTCTCTTCAATCTGCTGGAGGATTGCAAGGTTACAGAGATAGCAGTGAGCAGCAGGAAAGATCATTCTCTATCAAATGGGTCTGGGGACACTGAACTGCTTTTTATTAATGCAAATCCTGGTACAAAATAGTGACTTGTGTGTCACTGATATCAAGGCATAATGCAGTCTTGCAAGTTTGCTGTTGGGATGAAATTAAAGTACATATATTTTATCAGGAATAATTAAGTATAATTACGTATGTGTGTGTGTGTATGTGAGTGCAATATGTATATCTACATAACATGCAGATAGAATTACATTTAATAATAATGTAAATCCCTTGGTACATATAACGTTACGATCCCCATAGCATCTTTACAGCAATGTGAAGTCCTTTGAAAGTCTGTTTCAATCATTGACAGTCTGACTGCCTCCATGTACCTTCATATTAATTGGAAGGATTCAGCTTAGCAGAATAGACAGTCTTGTATCTTTAAAAATTCAGCTTCGGATAAGTCAGAGGCAGATAGAGTAGCATTGGTAATCTTGCCTTTTCTTACTTGTTGAATTTTCAACTTACTAATGTATCACTACATAATGCTTAGTATAAATTAATTTATATTGAGGTTTTATTTCTGACAGCATGGTGATCCGATAACCTGAAAATATCCTTGCAGTACACATTATATTAAAAATACCAAATTGAGTTACAAATACATATCTTTTAAAGAATGACTGTGCTGATAACATAGTAAGGAAAAGTTTATATGCCAAAAGTATAAAGTATATATTTCTGGCTATTCTCCAGAAGGAAAATCCTGTGAGCTAAAGTCACTCACCAGTAGGGGTTAGGGCCTCAGATCAGGAAAACAGTGGTGAGTTTAGGGCCTCATCAGGGTAGAAAATGAAACCATAGAATTATCCATAAAGAACCTCCTATAAAACATGATATCCTGGGTTTAAGTGGAGAGAGGAACGTTCTAGGGATAGTTGCCTATATTATTTTCACTCTAGGGAGAAATGTTAAATTAAAAATTATGGTAATTGACAGCAAATTAGCTAAATGGGTTAAACAGTGAGTGAATATATGAAAGAGAAATTATAACTTAGATCTGAAATTTGGCCTAATAGAATATACTTAAAATAATAAAAGAAAAGTTAAACAACATGGAGGATAAAATTAGATTTCCGAAGAAAATAATAGAATAGTGGAAAGGTAATATTTCAAAAGGTAACGAGGGACTTTGGCAGTCCAGTGGTTAGGACTCCGTTCTTCCACTGCAAGGACATAGGTTTGATCCGTGGTCAGAGGACTAACATCCGGCGTGCCACTTGATGCTACCAAAATAATAATAATAATAATGAAGCAGGGCTTTCCACAATTTTTAAGACCCAAGAATCCCAAGGGGTAAGAATAAAATGAAAGTTACACCTAAATCGATCACTGAAACTGTGAAACATAGAGGTCAGAGAAAAGATTCGAAAAGCAGCAGAGTGAAGACAGGTTGCTACACAGCAGAAAGAATCGATAGTTATGTAATCAGTAGCAACATCAGAAGGCAGATGAAATGGGGACAGGATCTTCAAAACAGACTGAAAATAAATGCTAAACTAAAACTGTATTTAAGAAACACCTTCTAAAAACAAAAGTTAAGAACGACAACCAAAAAGGCATTTTCAGGTAAATAGGAACTCAGGGAACCAACTTCCATCTAAAACTTTCAAGTAATTTCTAAGTTAAATTATTTCAGGCAGAAAGATATGATCCCAGAAGAAAAGCCTGAAATGTGAGAAGGAATGGTTGGGAAAAAAATGGAGAAAAACCTAAACAAAATATAACAATCAATATGATAACATTTAATGATTGGAAATATATGTAAAGATAATATAAAGTTGCTGGGCAATATTGCATGTGAGCATGGAGCATAAAATTAAAGCAATGTGAAAAGCTTAATTCCGTCTTCTTTGCCCTTATATTAAAACCATGTTTCTGGATTGCATTTTACAATGCAGCTAAATATAAACCATGTCTCTCCTGTTTTCTAAAGCTTTGAATGTAGTGTTTGTTTCTTAAGAAGACGAGAAGATAGGCATCTTAAATAGTTTATTAATTTTACATTTATGGAGTATTTTAAATTTTTGACACAGTTTTATATACAGTATATGTTTTATTATCATAAAACCTTCCATTTCTAGCACTTGAATAAAATATCCATATACTTAAAATCCAAAAGAGTAGGGTCTGTAATGTATTCTTAATTAATATTTATGCACTTAAAGATTAGATCCATCATTTTACATAGCAGTAACTTTCACCTTGGTTTATAAGAAAATTCAGTTATATCTTTTCTTAGTCTGCGCAGACTCCTATACCAAAGTGAAAGTGAAAGTCGCCCAGTCGTGTCCAACTCTTTGGGACAACTCTTTGCAGTCCTTGGAATTCTCCAGGCCAGAATACTGGAGTGGGTAGCCATTCCCTTCTCCAGGGGATCTTCCTAACCCAGGGATCAAACCCAGGTCTCCCTCTTTGAAGGTGGTTTCTTTACCAGCTGAGCCACAAGGGAAGCAGAAGAATATTGGAATGGGTAGCCTATCCCTTCTCCAGCTGATTTTCCCGACCCAGGAATCAAACTGGGGTCTCCTGCATTGCAGGCGAATTCTTTACCAACTGAGCTATCAAGGAAGTCCCAAGGTATCATAAAATGAGTGACTTATGAACAACAAATACTTCCTTCTGACAGTTGTGGAGGATGGAAGTCTAAGATTAAGGCACCAGCAGAATCAGTGCCTGGGGAGGGCCCACTTCCTGATTCTTAGCTGGCTTTAGCACACCATTTCTTCCTGTGGTAGCCGGGGCAAAGGAGCTCCGGGATCTCTTTTAATAAGGGCACGAACCCTATTCCTGAGGGTTCTGCTCTTGTGACCGTATCGCATTCTAAAGGCCCCCCACTCCAGATACCATCACAATGAGGATTAGGTTTCAACATATGAATTTGAGGAAAAGACAAACATTCAGATGATAGCAAAGCAATACATAAAGTGATAAATAACCAAGGTCATTATTTTTATGCCTATTAATGGGTGTTGATTCTACCACTTAACAGCCTCTAGCATGCATCATATTTTATATCTTTGAGGAGTAATATTTGCGTAAATCCTTTTTTAGATTGATTTTGACCAGGGTTAAGCTCTTTTACATAGAATTTTCTTTCTTATCAGAAACAGTTGAGAAGAATCTCTTAAATAGCTCAAAGACTTATTTCAAGTGAAACTTGATACTAAAAACTACCCCCTGAATTATAATAAATGATATAATTATTAAACTCAGTCTAGCAAATGAAGAGTTTTCATCTTACTCAATATGTAATTTATTTCTATCATTTCTCCCTGTTAGGCTCAGTATATGTCAACTGGAACATTAGTTTGAATATGTTAATATTCATAGTCTCCATCTTTGGTTTCATCTTCTGGGAAGATGTTGGTTGACCAGGATACAATGAATATTAAATAAGTGTCACCAAATATGGAACAATTTTTACTTATAAATCATTTGCATATTTTATGTCCCCAAAATTTCTTAGTAATGTTTTAGTTTAAATTAGATCACTGCGCTTGAAGAGCTCTGTTTTTCTTTTGGTTTCCTTTTATGTTGTTTTAGGCTTAACCAGGATCTCATAAAATGAGTCTTAGGATTTCTCAGGATGGTTTGCTGGTGTAGATGATATGTTCTTATTTTTTCCCAATATCTAATAATAATGGAAGATTGGCTGTGTTTTGTTTTTAAGAAAATATCTGCGGTTGGCCAAGTTGTCACTGAGACAGCCAGAAATGAAAGCCTTTATCTGCACAGTGTAACAGTCACTGGCTGCATGTTCTTGTGTTGCCCAAACTTACCTGCATCATGCAGTAACCATCACATCCCAAACGTCTCCAACTATGTACTTAAACAATCCCAACCCTTGTGGTTCCAGGCGCCTCATCAAGCCTAAAGGGCCAGTGGGTGGAGGGGAGAGAATGGAGACAGAAAGCAAAGAGGAAAGGCCACCGTGACTCCTCTCGTTCTGCCCTCATCCCTGGTGGAAGAGAAATGAGCTCCCTGTCCTTACACTGTTCTCTAGTTATATTTTCTGAATGCTAAATAAAATAGAATTGCAGTCAAACTCAGATTATGATGGAATGGTGCCTAAGCGTG